TACACTTTCCCTGCTTCTCTCCACAGCTCCCCCAGGATACATCGCCCCTTTTAGGGTTCAGTTGGTTTTATTATAATCACATGAAACTTTTCCTACAATTCTGAAGAGCTTAGTATCATTTATAAAACAGCAGGAACCAGCAGCTAGACAATACACTTATTTATTCACATAGAAAAACACCGGAATAAAAAAGAGGGCATCAGTATATCAGTGTCTGATGTGAAATGAACAGTGATGATTTGGGGTGTGCTGGTCAGTATCTCCTCTGCCGGGGACTGAAGACGGTGCTGGGGTCCCGGTCTCGCTCGCGCTGGCTCTCGGGTGATGAGGGCTTCTCCGCGCCAGCGCTCTTGAACGGATCTCGCCCCGGCCGCAGAATCTGCTCCCCCATCCTCCTGTGCCGCTTCATGTCCGCCAGCACCTTGTCCAGCCGGGCCTCGCGCCTGACCGCGGAGCGAGCCGAGGATCCTGCAGAACACAGCTCAGCATCACTCACCAGATCGGCACACACCTGCGGAGAACAGCCGCGTTATACCTGGAGTCCTGCGGCGGCTCAGAAAAGAGTTCTTGGGAGTCGTCGTCTGTTCCTCGTCGAAATCAAATTCAGTTGGACTGAGAGCCCTGCAGAGCGTAGCAATAATCAATACATATTTACATCACATTATCATTTAATGTAACCATGTACAATATATGCACAGAAACGGGGTTTATATACGTAATTATAGAGTTACAATTTTAAGTCTCTTCTGCTCACCACGGCTGCATTTATTTGATCACAAATATAGTTAAAAACTGAAATATTATTAGAATTTAAAACAGCTGTTTTCTATGTGAATCTCTGTTAGACTGTAATGTATTTCTGTGATGCGAAGCTGTATTTTCAGCATCATTACTCCAGTCTTCAGTGTCACATGATCTTCAGAAATCAGTACAATATGCTGATCTGCTGCTATTAGTTAATAGCTGCTCAATTATTAATCACGGTTCATCATATCACTACTCAAACAGATGTACTGCTTGATATTTTTGTGATCTATTTTTTGCAGCATTCTTTGATGATTAGAAAGCTTTTATTTTTTTACATATAAATCTTCTGTAACATTATAAATGTCTTTAATGTCACTTTTGATCAATGTAACGTGTCCCTGCTGAATACAAGTACTCATTTCTTTTAGAAAAATCTTTTGAGTGGTAGGGTTTCCACAAAATATTACGTGATAATAATCAGAAGTGTTTCTAATAATCAGCATATTATACTGATTTCTGAAGATCATGTGACACTGAAGACTGGAGGAATGATGCTGAAAATACAGCTGCGCATCACAGAAATACATTACAGCTTAACAGAGATTCACATAGAACACAGCTGTTTTAGATTCTAGTAATATTTGACTGTTTTGACTGTGTTTTTGATCTAATAAATGCATCCTCTGTGAGCAGAAGAGCTTTGAGACACATGAAGAATGCAGAATGATGTGAGATGTATATCAGCGTATATCTGACGGACTTGCGCTGGTCCTCCTGCGGCTCCTGCGAGGCGTCTCCGTCTCTCTCAGGCGAGGGCGTGCGTGCAGGGGTCGGAGGTCGGCGTGGAAGCGGCTCCCACTTCAGCTCCAGCGGTTCTCCTTTAGCCAGGATCTGGTAGAGCCGCTTGATCTCGTGGGGCGGAGGCATCCAGCTCCTGGGCTCCTCCATCTCCTCGTCACTGTACGGGATCTCCCAGTCTCCGCTCATCTCTCCGTCCTCCTCCGCTTCTGCATCGCACACATTCAGAGTGGGGAGTAACTAGTCACATGTAACGGAATCACGTCATTTAATTACTAAATACATGGGTTGCACTTTATCTTAAGGTGTCCTTGTTACAGTGTAATTATACCTTAAAGCACTGAGTAATATTAATTAACCACGTGTCACAGACAGGTGTGGAGTGCGTACTTGTGTCGTCCTCTGCTGTAGCATCTTCATGCATCTCCTCGCTTCTTTCTGGCTCCTTTTCTTCCAGTTTTCCCGCAGTTTTCTCCTCCTCACGGACTCCCAGCGCCTCCTGCATCGCCTCTCCTGCGGGGAGCACAGCTCAAACGGCTGACTTCTACACACACTACATGGACAAAAGTATTGGCACCCTTCTAACGAGCAGGTCTGACTACTTCAGGCAGTTCCACGAGTACAGCTCTTAATGTTGCAGCATATGATGCTATTCTAGGGAATTGTGTGCTTCTAACAGTTTGCACAGGACTCTTTTCTATTCTAACACAACGATGCTTCTGTGTATATTTTACTTTAAATGCAGATTTGAGCCAAAACCTCATCACTTGTACATACATATGGACAAAAGCATTGGGACACCCCTTCTTTAGAACACAGAAAGGCACTTCTAACACTGTGGCAACATAATTCATGTATTTCCACTCTGCTGCAACA